TGTTGAGGTAAGCTCTTCTGGTCAAATGATAATTACCTCATCTGCGAACACCTCCACAGGCGCTGGCTTCACAAGTGTCTCTTCAAACACTGTTCCTGGTGCCTGTATCTCGCTATCCGGCTTGCCATGCGCCTCTGGGCAGTCCTCAGCACCAATGACCGCAGTCAGTCTTGCTCCGGCTCAACCACATACCCATCACATTCACCATCCTCATGCACACTTGCACCATTTTCCAGGCCACCAGCAGACGCTGTCCGCGTCCTCCACCACTGCTAGTCCGTGTGGTAATAGCTCCCTCTTTCATCAACAGAACACTCAGCTCGGACACCCTCAACAGCAACAACAGCAGTTGTTGATCCAGTCCGTCCCTGCCGGCCAACCCTCACAGACAGCTGCTGCCATTTACGTTACTAACTCAACAAATCTAGGAGCTCCGGCTACTTTGTTCGCTGCTAGCGCGCCTGCGGCCGGACAGGTCTCAGCCCAAGCAGGTCCAGCTGGATTGGCCTCGTTTGTCACCTCGCCACCACCTGCTTCTGTCAATAGTGCAGCCAACGGAGCGATTTCTGTTTCTGTATCAATGACTGCATCTACTACACCTTCCGTCGGCCTCATACCAGCCTCATCCATTCCCGCATCATCCGTCACTACCACCAGCGCGACTGGCGTCTGCATGACGGGAAGTCAAACGATCGGAGTCAGGAGTAGCCATCAGGTCCTGCAATCACCACAGTTAATTCGCCCTCATCCCCAGATCACACCGGGACCTGTATACCAGCAGCAACAGAGGCCATTGCAACCATTAGTCACTCCGGGACCAGCAGGAACACTCTCTCCAGTAAGTCAATTACAACAACGACAACTACAACCTTCACCAGGTCAGGTCCAAACGCAATACTTTGCGCACCAACAACAACGAGCTACAGTAATATCTCAATATCAATCTCAGCAATTAGCCCAACACTCGCATCAGCAGCAACAACAACAAAGAATTCAGCAAATTCAGGCTCAACCTCAAGTTGTTCAATATCCCACCTTGCACCAGCATCAACACTCGCAGCAACAGCAACAGCAACGTATCATCCTTCAGACTCCTAGTGGTCAGCAGGTAATCGCGACATCGACTGGACAGCAACTTCAACAGCACCAACTTGGCGAGCAATCAGTAAGTGTTTGCATTTTTACTGCATGATGTCCACAAAACTACTTGTATTTATATCGTATAGTTGTTTAACAATCAATAAGCAAAATAGAACGGCGAAGTGCATAACTCTCACAATTATTTTTTTAATCTTTATCTAAGTAGGTCTATAGAGCATCAGCAATTCTCAAATAGGAACTCAATCATCCTTAATGGCTTAAGCTGATAGAAGGACTAATATTTGAATTTCCCAACACCTAAATAAGCAGGCCCCACAATGTCATTGAATTTCACTAAGTCTTGTCTCCGAAAAGATCACCTAATTCAGGATGGATATTTCTATTAAG